TTCCGTGAACTGACAATTAGTTTTAACCACTTTGGAAATCGAGGAAGTTTGGATTTGAGCAAGTTGAGAATCTCTGCTTTGTCATTCGCACATTCATCCAAGGCATCAATGACCACATACCATGGCTCCATTCGTTGCTGCTGCAGTTTTTTCAAAGGTGTGAGGATTCCCTGCTCAAAACACCATTCTGGATCTTGAGCACAATCTTTATACAACACCCTGCGGGCAAACAAGTCTGTCGAAATAAGTTGACCATATTCAGCGATTCTCCAGGCGATCATATTTGCAAGGTTTCTAACAAATTTGGCTCCACTCTGCGTCCCTTTGTCGAAGTGCATGCAAAAATGGTACCCGAGGGTTCTGCCATGGATGAGTGGGCTGGATGTTCTGGAACAAAGTAAATGGCTTAAAAAGGCGGACTTTCCAGAGCCAGGATTTCCTGTTATTAAAACACCACGCTTGTTAGTGTGCTCTAAGACACTTTCCATTTCCTGGTACAGCCACTGACGTCCGATGAATTCTGCGTTCGACGAATTGATAAAGTCACTGAAGTCGAAGTATTTGAGCTCCCATTGATCACTGTACACCTGGATGGAACATCCTAAAAAATCAAAACCCCAGAAATTGTTTGGAATCCTTTCAATTCAAACAGAAGCATATGTGATATGCTTCTGCCTCAAATAAATACAAGTGAAGAGCTAACTAAGCTAAGCTACATACACCGCAGCTAATATACGCTGCTACTTTATTTTACTTTCACGAGTGACTTAATGCTTGCAGATATTCAGTGTTACGGGCAGAACGCTTCTGAGTGCTAAATTCGAATTATGAAGGGTCGTTCATTAACGGAGGGTCAGTAGCTCGTAGAAGGGAGCAACCTTCCGGTGAGCAGTAAAATGGTACTCCTACCACGTCTTCCTCATAAAGTCCTTAACCAATTTAGACTAATGAGAAGCTTACAAGAGAGAAGCATCCATCTCCAACTACGGGTGAGTAACGTATCAGTCAAGAACATCATTTCGCGGAATAACTGAAATAAACAAATTATCAAGTGACTAATGGGCTGCAGTCTAATGAGATGGACACTTGAGATCGCGAGCTTCTGATAACAGAATTACTGTGGTAATGTCACTCACTCACCGTCTCTGTCATAAGAATGATCCAAAACGACATAGCAATGACAGAGTAACAACAGCATCAACCATAAGACAGCATCGCGTTTTCTTAGGCCTTTGACGTTTCCTGCCAGGTTTCCGAGCACACTAAGCCAAGACTTGCCGTCTTCGTGTTTTCTTTGCCGATTCAGTTCACTGAGTTGTTTTGTCAAAATCTCCTGTTGTTGTTTTAACTGGCTTTGTTCTTCATTATTTCTAGCAGACTCCTCCTTCAATCTGACTAAATCGTTATTAAGGTTTAAAAGCTCTTTTCCAATAACTTCTTTAAAGTCAGCCAACACTCGAGCTTCCATACTGTGCAGATCGGAAACGGACTTAAGGTTGCCAATCTCTTTTAGGGCTTGCTGGGCGTCAGGGTCATGAGCTACGTTGGGATCCTGAAGCAGATTTTCAATGGCATCAAATGCGACCTTCTTGTCAGCATCGGTCAACTCTAGACAAGGCACATGCACCCAGTTGTTGTTTCGTATTTTACGGACTTCGTCAATCAAGGGTTGAGGAATAGTGAACTGGTTACACCAGTACATCAGATTCAAGATACCAGTGATGTCCATGTCGTTTGCACTCTTAATATCGGCATGTCCCCCCAAATCAGGAAGGAAGAGTTTAGCTATTTCCCAGGGGCCCAGGATTGGATCCATCCATTTAGCAGGATCACTTTGTTTCCAGTTCGGTTTGTTTCGATTGTGATGAGCCTGAAGGATATTAGCCCATGCGCAGGTACTCATGTCGTGGTACTCGTTTGGTTTTCTCCGCGGGACACGGACACAGGTGCAGGGTCCCCCGCCAGTTCGTACCGACACCCTCGCATAGAAAGTCTTCAGCTCTCTGGTAATAAACGGGCGAAGGCCTTGGCACATCTCTGTTGTTAAGGCATGACCAAGTGCAAGCCAGTTTCTGTACTCCGGTTTAGTAAGTTGTCCGACTGTTCCTGATGTGCTTGAGGATGCCATTTCTTTAGTCGAGAAAAAAGCAATTTACACATTTGGATCAGCTGAAAGCTCAATTTCGACCCAGAGCCTGGTTTTCTTTTGGTCAAAACGCGCACTCTGGCTCAAGGCTCGTTTCTCGAGTCTTCGTTTCTTTCTCTGCAAGCTTGACAAAACGAGTGACTCTTGAGAGTTTCTTTACACAACTCGATTTCGACTGGTTTAAAAACAATGAAAATGTACGACGAGTCGATTAAGCCACGTGTTTGTCAGCTGGACAATTCAGTGCAATTCAACCAGACGTCCGATATTTCCGGACTTCCAATTAGAACTTTCCGAGGTCGCTCGCTTCCCAACCGCTGGTCAGACTCTAGGTACGAGGTTGACTGTGGAATAATCCAATTTTTTGAGCATGCACAGCGTGCTCATTTTGGATCGTTGGCCAGTCAGCATAAAAGTTGAAACGACCAGAAGCTCGTGAATCGCGGATTTTTCAACTCGATCTTGGCCAGAGTCCGCGTCTTTTTGTCCTTAGACTACATTTTTAAGAAATCATGCCATCAAAAGTCAGTTGACATGAAATCATGAGATCAGTTGACATTATGTAAAACACTTTTTATTATTGTCATGCCATATTTCTGTTTTGAAAAGGACTGAATAAATTATATGGGAGTAGTATTCACGATGCAATCCGTTGGCCTTGAGCAATTCACGAAAAATTCAGAAAAGGTAGCAATTATCTGCACGTTATTCTCAATTTTGGTTATAGTGTCACTCGCCAAATGGCGATCTTCTGGTACGCCTATCATGCGCTGTAGCATACAAGAGTGCGTCAAGCACGTAGAATATTCTTTTACTTTCCTAATCTATATTTCAGGGAAACCCCTAATGCCAAAAATGCTTCTATTATTTTGTAAATTAAGTATAAAATCCTGACGAAATTCATACCACCTTAATATCCCTTTTTGCAAATAGCTTTATGTGTATACCAGTCTCTCATCGTTAGACACTGAACGTTAAACTATAACATGCAAATAATTAGAGTACCACCATCAGCTAAATGTTAGTCTTAAATTTATGCATGACACAGCAAGAGTTTCAAT